CATACATACCAAATAACCAGTATCATCTGATATTGATAAAACCACAAGGAACACATTTAAAAGCTCGAAATAGACATTTTTGACATGTACATGATTTTCATAAAGTATTTGAAACCTACTTTACCATGTTAGATTAAACCTAGTTTTCAGACCCATCTATAGCTTCCAAAAGATGAAAATACAGGACCCATAAACAACCAACTCTAGAAACATCTCAAGATAATTCCTTGAACCAAAAAGACATCAAAAATAAACACAAACTTCCAATCCCCTAAAAATCTCAAATAAAGATTTCAAAGCACCACTAAAGCTTACCTCTTCAACAATCAGACCTTCCAACCAAAAACATCCACAATGAATGTATCAAACCTCCAAACATGGTAAGATACTTCAATATTGCCTCCAAGTATCCCCAAAATTGGCACCATAGAGGAGAGATTGGAGTGGATGGAGGAAATGAGAAACCATAGGTCAAAATCGACTTTAAAACTGATATTGGGCATGGACGTGCGTTTTCATGCAGCTAAACTCACATGGAAAGTCCCCTTTATCCAAAATTCATAGCAAACAGACCCTGATGCCGGTTTTCATTCGGCTAAACCCGCATTAACCATTGATTACCTTCCAAATCTGTCTTTCTTAACTTGGCATAAAGATATACTCAATAGCAATTCCATGATATAGCTTGGTACAAAATTCATTTTAAGACCAAAATATCAGACGAAGTACAATTGCAAATAAATGTCCAAAATTTTGGGTCTTACAACCTCCTTCTCATATCTCTTCTTGCATGGGTGGAGGGTTATTATGTAAAAGGTGTGAACAGAGGATCAAATCCATAACAAGTTAGAAATCCCAGGGACCAAATCGTATTGTAGTCGAAACTTAATTTAACAAGTAATATAATAAACAAACTTATTAATGATTAAATATTTAAAATACAAACTTATAAAACCTTGTTGATTTTGATTATTGAAATTAAAACATCTTTGTATATGCACATAATGTTTTTTTTCATGGAATGAAATTTGTTAAGAAAAATTGACTTTGAAATAATTGAAATGAAATTTTATCAGGTTTGACTATCTGTGTGGTTGACATACATTGGAACGGAATTTTTATGTCTGATTCACATAATATTAGTTTTGGAATTAGAATAAAATATTGGTAAATGACCAAAAAATATATTTTTTGAAAATTATGAAACTGAAATCCAACTACTATGGTTCAAATCGATGGTGGTTAGCGGTGGTCGGTAGTGGTTTAGAACGACAATGGTCGGCGGTGGTTCAAAAAGGTGGTTCAGATCATGGTGGTAGATAGTGGTTCAGATCGCTGGTGGTTCGGTACACCGATTCAGGTTAGTGGTGGTCGACGTGGTTCATATCAAGTATGGAATATGAGGATAATTTTGACTTTTTGAGAAAACGAGATAGAATGAAATTGAATTCCTTTTCAATTGTGATGAAATGACCAAAATCAATGAATGGTGGAATGTGTGGAATTCAATTCCATTCTATAGGTAAAAACTCCCATTAGGGGTGAACAATACCAGTTTTTTTTCCATGTATCATTTACCAACCAATTATAACTAGTACGTAAAACTTTATACCATGTGTCGATCAACTATACATCGTACCAACTTTTTTTCGGTTGGAACACATAGGTACGGTATTGTACCAACATTGCAAAACTTGAACTTAGAAATTTATTTAAATGGATATCTAGACCAACTAGATCTACGTGCATTACAAACTGTCAAGCAGTCACATAACATGTTGACATGTATTGTTCACTTATCCCTGTTTATATAAGCATTCAAATGATCTTCGCATAACACAAGCAACCATTGAGAAGCGTCAATGAACCGTAGAGATGTGGACGAATTACCAAGGTTGTTATGATTAGAGGAATGAACTCAATCAAATTCTATATATTCATATGTATTATAATCTAGCAAAATTTAAAGCAAGATAATTTATAAATTGAAAATCAAAATATGTTATTATAATTAAACTTTAATTAATAAATAATTAAAAAAAGAAGTAGGTACGGTACGATATTACCGTGATACACGACTTTTAATACCATGTACCAACCAAGTTTAAATAGTTGGTTTTACCAACTAATTATATTGCTATCAACTAAATTGATACCAACTAAACTGATACAGGGATGAAAATTTTAGTCCTGTCTAGTCCATCTCTCGATATTGAATAAAATATAATTTTTATTTTCACATTGGATGAAACATATTTTCTATTTTTCAATGAAATATATTTGTATTAAAAATTTATATAAAATGATTTTATTGATTATGATAGGTTAAACAAACAACATTAATAAACCATACATCCCATTTGATAAAAGACAATTTTTCTTTCAAATTCAATAAAAATCTGTAATTGCAAAATCTGCAATTGCGACGATCAGGTCCGCAATTGCAACTGTAAACTTGTTGAGTTTGATTTGTTTTTTGTCTTCTAGATGGACCTAGCTACTATTGTGAATCTGGTGGGAGTATTGACGTTTGGGTAAACCCTGTAGAGAAATGGCTAGACACCAATTTGAACGTGGGAAATGGTGAGTCAATTTCCCTTGGTACTTAAGATGTAAAGTTTCAAACATTTAAGTATGTTTGACAATTAACCGATTACCATGCTGACATGATAAATGATATGATATCCAGCTTAATATTATTGGATGAAAGGATGATGACATGAATTTTTTTTTTTTTAATATGAAATCGATTTTAAATTTATTTCTAGATTAAAACTTTACGTATTTTAGTTCATTCATATATTCCATATAAAACTGAAATATGGGAAGGGTTCCAAAATTGCCCATCTTCCTTCGACGATAGATCTCAAAAATTCATCTTCTCAATTATTAGGTTTTGGTAAGGAAAAAATAGAGTGTTTGGAATGATTAAATTAATAGATAATATTTTGGAACAAATAAAACTTTAGACATTGTAAAACCTGCTAAATAACTCATTGAAGATTTTAAAATATGCAGGGACGTTCCAATTTTTTTGGAGGCCCTACTACATTCAAAACTTTTGAGTACATTGTATAAATGAGATATCGAGGATACTAGAAGAGTACTCGTGCAATGCATCGAGACACATATCGGTTTTAATGTTTTATTTTATTATTTGTCTCTATCGATGTTATAATACGATTTTATGTGTTTTTAAGAAAACATTAATGATTTTTTTTTTTTGAATAAAATATAAATTTGAAAAAAAAATATCAATGTTAATATCAAATCAACTATTTAAAAGTTCTCATTTTTATGTAATTTATTTTTTAATTATAATTTAATTTAATTTTAATAACGAAATAATTTATTTTTGGTTTAATAATATAAACATTTTAATAGATAATAACTAAGTATTATGTTAGAACTCAATAATTATCCTAATTATATTTTAGATTTTTTGTATTTAAAATGATATGTTTATCCTGTATTTGATTATGTTTATCTGCAGTTAGTTACACGAATTCAAATATAGAGCTTTAATAAGTTGTACTTACGCACAATCTACTTGCAATTTTGAGTTTTAAGTAATATGCATTAATAAAAAGTGGTTTTTAAGAGTTTTGTCAAATACTTTATAATATAGTATAAATATGTTAAGAACAAAAATAGGTTAAACTTAAAATGATTAACAATCTGAAACTAAATTTAAATTATTAATAATTTAAACCTAAAACCAAACAATTAATTATTTGAACCTGAATAATTTTGACTATAATTTTACACAAATCGATAAAAAGACTCTATGTTAATATGCCAATGAACGGCCTTTTATGTTAATAAAGTTTTATCACTAAAAAATTTAACATGAAACCTAGAAATCTGGTAAATTTACAAAATAAACCCCCACTAAAACTAACGTGCTAATCTTCCTCACTCCACGCTCGCCCCTCTCTCCCCCTCGTCATTACACCAGTTCACTCCGGTCCGCCCCGTGGGCCGTGGCCGTCGCCACTGTCCGCAACCTAGGCTGCTGCCGTCACCATCACCCTTAGCCCAGTCCCGTCGCCGACTCCGACTGTGTGGTCAAAACAGGTACGTAACGGCAATCTTTTGTTATCCATGTGATTTGATAATTGAATTGAAGCAACTACGATGTTTGTATTTCATTGGAGATTTTGGAATTTAATTATTATAATGTTTATCGATTGCTAATTAGTAATGTAAGAATTTCTGCAGAAATGTTGGATGATATATTTGTTCTCTTTTTCATTTGTAATTCAACACGTGTTCTTGAAATTGCTTTAAGTTTCTTATGCTTGAGCTTATTAAGAACACATTATTGGGCTATTGGTTCCAAACTAGGTGCTATTCTTAGGGAGTTATGAGGGTTTACTATTGAAGTTAAGAATGATCTCCTAAAAGGAGAACGGAGAAAGAAAAACAAAAAATAAAACTATGCTCTTCTTTAAACATGATTTTTCTTTTTTACCATGAAGAGTTTGCATGATGATTTTGAAGGTTGTTCCAGATGGTTTTTTGAATTTCTTGGTTTAATTTTTGTACTTCTTGATGATTGGTTATGGTTTAAGTTTTTTCTTATGTTGATTTTTGTCATTACTGTCTGTTGACCAAGTTTAAAAGAGTTTGATTGTTCAAAAAATTTCCTGCAATTTCAATATATATAGACGAACAGGAAGTGGAGCAGGCAGTACATTCAAGGACATGGAAACATGGATTTCAACTCCCCACAATACCACATTGTAACTTGGTTACGTTGCTTGGGATTTTTAACTATGTCTAAGTGATAGACTATTGGTTTTCTTTCTGATTTTCACATCTAGTCATTTTGTTTTAACAAAAATATATGGATGTTGTTGTTCTTGTCAATCATTGTTGGATGGGAATGTCAGGGCATTATTTTGATGCTTATATTTAATTTGTTTTAATATGCTACAATGGATGATGGTATTTTACATAAGAACAATTCATTACTTTAATATGTTGTTTATCTTAAAATGATCAAACTTTCTTGTTTTCATGCTATATATACAGTCATGTTTAAAACTTAATATTGCAATTTTGCAATAAAATAGAGTTATAAAAGCAAGCAACACAAAAAGAAACAGGAAAGGAAGGAGGAGAAGCAGGTTGGGAGTCGAGTGGCCTGTTTGACCGACAATTCATTTGGCAATCTCAAAACTACCAAAATTGAGCCACCAGTTGATTGATCACCCTTGTGAACCATTATGAAAGGTACCCAACCTGCTGGTAGTCAATGGCTCTTTTGGTTTTGCTATTATTTATATTATTAAGATTGGGATTTTATTGTACTTTGCATTTCTGCAAGTTATTATAATTCCTAATATGGGGTGTTCATAGTTTGCTTCCCGTTAGAATCTATATGAAATAATGTTGCTGTTTCATATTCGCCTTCTCTGATCCGTCTGGTCTTAGTGCTATCAACTGAGTGTGTGTTCAGGTATGTTGCTGCAAATGTTTCCATTTATTTATCTTGTACTCATCCAAGCATTCTATGATTCATGTACCTCAATGGAGAACTTGTGTAATTTGTTTCTGCAGTGAATCCACCATATACCGGGTACGTTTCTTTATCATATATCTTTGACTAATTTGTCAATCCTGAATTTCCAGTTACAATTATGTCATATGATATATTTATTGACTTCTTACAATTTATTTCATATTATATACTTGAATACCTGTCCCGCTAAGAAGTTTAACAAGTGAATAAATCACTCATCAACAAACATAAAAAATACTATTCTAGTTCAATAGATCTTATACTCTCATCAGCTTCAATAGAATCCAGTAACCTGACTATTTGATGCATTGCTTTCTCTATGGGTATATTCTCTATTCAGAGTTTTTATCAAGAGAAAATGAAAATCTAGGCCACCCATTGGCTACAGCCTACATTGTAGAGACACTAAAGATGTGTAGGTGTTATAGCATATAGTTTGAATGTAGAATTAAATGGTTTGGACTTGATACCATTACCTCTTGATTTTACACCATTGTCCTTTTAATTTCTTGATCCATCAACATTGGTGGGAAACCTTTCATCTTTCTCTTTTTGCTACTAATAACTGTCCTTCCCTTCACCACAAGAAGCAAAAGATTAGAAGAATAACTCAAGAGGCTGTCCATTCAACAATGACCAATGGAGTATTAACTCAATTTATGTAGACCCTTGCAACTGAATGACTTACCATGAGATTTTTTGGGGATTGTTGCCTACAATGGTCAAAAGAGGTGGATGATATCATCAACATAACAATAAAAAAATACGAGTCCTCCATTACATACAACTAGATTTTCCTCCCATGTAGCAAAGAGAAGCATTTATAGGATTTTAATAAAGGTGATCATTTGCAGGCCTGGGCTGGGCCCGAGCCGCGCCTAACTTGTTTTCTTGGTCCAACTGGCCTAATATTGTAAACCTAAGCCCTTTTTTGGGCTTAACAACTTGCCATTGCCCTCCCTATAAATGGGCTGGGCTTGCCTACGGGTTAACTGGCCTAAAAGGTGTAACTCTTATAAATCTATAAACTTGATCACTAGCAATTAATTAACAAATGTGGAACCAAAAAGTAAAGGAAAAACACTGTTGCAATCAAAATTTTAAGCAACTAAAGTGACACATGGATCTCAACAAGTGGAGAAAGAAATGAAAAACAAACAACCTTAGCCTTTTGGGTTCTCAAGAATAACCAAAGAGTCCCATCCTATAATTTAATTTTAAAATATACTACTATAATTTTAATTAATGGTAAAAAAATATTAATTATAAAATATAAACGGCTGGACGGGCCTGTCCATATTTATTTTTATATTGCCCATGTTCGCCCGTTAATTTTAACATTTTAACGAACAAACCCGGGCCCGTCCATTTTCTCAATAATGGTTGTCCAAGCCCGTATTTCTAGCAGGCTAGATGGGCCGGGTCTAGCGGGTCGTCCCGCCCATGAACAACTCTAGATTTTAAGTAATTAAATGGATTTCATCATTCTTTGTCTAGTATTTTTATGTGGAAATTGTGATCTTGTATTGGGTTCTAACAAGAAGGAAATAAATGTGTAACATTTCAAACCAAATAGTGTTTATAGAAGAGGGTATTTTGATAATTCTTCTTCTTTTGTATGACATCATTATAGAAGGGGTCCATGTGTGTGTGATATATGGTTAGGTTTAGGGGAAAACCAAAAAAGTGAAAAACTGAAGAACACCCTAATAACCATTCATTTGTACAGTATGCACATGTGCATACAAGTAATTTATCCGGTATGCACAAGTAATTGAAGATCTTTCCTGGTCTTAATGCACGTGTGCATGTTTATGCACATGTGCATACCAAACAAAATTTACTTGTATGCACATGTGCATACCATACAGACACTGGCGGATCCAAGATTTTTGCCTGGTGGGGGCACCTTCAAGGTAGACTAAAGGCCTGCAAAGTCGTCCGGCGTGTTTTTAGCCTAATTACACCGTTTCGAGGGATTTTTAAAGGTTTTTTGGTTTATTTTGAGGGATTTTTTTAGTGTTTTTGTCGATTTCGAAGGACTTTTTTGGTTGATTTCTAGAGACTTTTTTGGTTTTTTGATTGATTTCTAGTGTTGTGGGGTCCCTTGCAAAAATTTACTTGGGGGGGGGGGGAAGAAGTAAAAAGTTGTAATTTTTTTATTTTTTTATTTTTTTTAACCCTTGTAATTTTTTTTAATGGGGTCCCATCCCCCCCTACTTACTATGTAAGTCCGCCACTGCTTACAAATGAATGGTTGTTAATATTAGGGTATTTCTCAATTGGGGTTTCCCCTTAACCTCACTATATATAGACTCAAATAATATATAAACCGTCTAAAAGTTAGAAACCGTGAATACCAGTTTCATTTATTGTTTCATAGATGAAATGACACATGTAAGAACCAAACACGTGAAAATCAACCAAACCATCCAATGAGTTTGATTTTAAGCTATGATTCATATTGTTTCACATGTTCTGTTTGTGTGCGAATATGAGTGTGCGTCTCATGTATAATGTATTTTTGTTTTTATTCACTCGCAAACATTCCTTGACATTACCAAAGGGCTTTTGGCCTAGCGGTATCGTAGCCCTTGGCCTTCTAGGAGGTCAGGGGTTCAAACCTCACCATAGGTGAGGAGGGTGTGTGAGTTTATTTGTTGCATTTGCCGTATATAAATATTATATACTTCAAAAAAAAAAAAACATTCCTTGACATTTCATCTATGAAACAACACTGGATGAACACTTATGTTCACATGTGTTGTTTCATCTATGAACCAACACTTACTGGTTCTCATAGTTTCTAACTTTTAGACACTTTCTAAAATCACACTTATAGAAGGGGTCTCATGCACATAATGCCTCCTAGTTCACCTAATTAGCCTTATATGTTGTGTAAAATTGTTAAAAGCATGCCTAGGCACTGATGCGCATAACGCTCAAGTTCTTAGGCTTTTTTAAGGTCGAGGCGAGGCATATTCACGAAGCTCACTAAGGTGCTTTTGGGCCAAGGCTCGTCAAAAAGAGTTAATACCGAGTCAAACCCTAATATTAAATAAGTCTTCTCATCTCCTGGACTTCTATAAAAAAGAGTTATTAAATAACTCAAAACTCTAATATAAATACCCAATCCTCAGAACTTCACGCCTCCTATAAATTCGTAACAGACCTTAAAACTTCTCCCTCATGGCTTTAAACCCTTCTCTTCTGCCTCTATCAAATTACTGGCCGCTTGTTGCATTGGAGGCCTGTACCTGCTGCTACATACAAGTATATATAGTCATTTTTTTGTTATTCGTTGCATTGGGCCTGCCATTTTTTTGCTTGTAAGTCAGCACACACAAATATGGCAACAAGCTATGTGACCAGATATGGTTTCAAAGATTTGAAGGTCACAAGTGCTCAGCTTGTGAGGGTACTTTAATGTGATCAACTTTGCTACTAGAGACCAGTCTGAATGAGAACTCAAGTTTCTTGTGAAGGTTAATGCTGTTGGCTTAGTAAAAAACCACTTCACGACTTGTGGAATGAACATAAATATAAAAGGAGATTTTGGTTGAGAGTTGTTACAGGACAGAACATACATATCCAAAGATGGTTCTTGTAATTGTTTTTGTGTGTGTGTATATGTATATATATTGATGAGACGTGCTTCACATTCTTGAAGCCCGCACCTTGTTCCTGTCCTAGTCCCCACAACCCTTTTGCCCCCATGTATGCCTTGAGCCTTTAACAACTTTGATATTGTGGGTGGTGAGCCTTCTTCAACCAACACTATTCATGTGCATTCTAAAGACTAATAGCCCCATATAAATATTTGTTGGAGGAATCCAAAATTAGTTTATGCATCTATAATATTTATCCTTGCAAACCATCATAATAGTTATCTTTATCTATTGTTCATGTGTCTATACGAAGGGATATCCCTATAATCAATAGACCATATTAAAGTTATTCCAAATATCCAAATTACAACTCTAAAACCATGCTCTTAAGGCTTGTTACAATTATAGGCGCGAATCGCTCCCACACCCTGTTCTCATGCTTTCCCTATTGTAAACCTAGTTGTTGGTGATCATCCCATATTAGTCGGAACTTGAGAAGGGATCCTTGTATTCTAACCAGTCACTATAAAGTGGATGCTTTCAATGAGAAGGAATCTAGACAAACTGCAAGATTTTTCTCATATTGGATAGGTTGTCACATTACTAGTGAGTCCACTACCAGTTATTGTGTCTTTTTCATAGCAATTTGGTTTAACGAAAGAGGAATAAGTGGCACACTATATCATGATCTAGTGTAAATTGAGATTATTGAGATATGACACATGTTACTTGCAAGATGATGTGTACCAAATTTTTATTGCATGAGTTGGGAGCTCTCATCGAAAAACCAACAAGGCTGCCAAGACACACACACACACACATATATGAGAGGAGAGGACCAAAACTAAGAGGTCTAGTGTCAACTTGTGAGGGATCATTACAGGTATAGAGAGTGAGCTATCTTTAGTCATCTTATTCTTATTCGTCCAAAACACCAAATTGTAGATTCTCGGACAAAACTGCTGTGAGAGAGACTTTATCAATTGCATATGCAACAAGCTAGGCATGATAGAATTATGCACTCCAATTTGAGGACTGCACAAAGAGTCCACAATAGTTTAGGCATCTGTAGTATTTATCCTTCTGTCGTTAGTAGTTATCCTTATCTATTGCAATTGGGTTTATATAAATGGATTTCTCAATCAATAGATCATCAAAAATTTATCCAAAAAATGCATTTTCACACACACACACACACACGCTCGATCGCTTAAAAAACGTATGTTTCTTTCCCGACCATATATTTGCATCTCAAACACACATAAAGAACTTACATTTACAAGATCAACTTATAAAACAAGAGAACTATGATATGAAAATCAATCGTAGAGTCTATAAAAAATCAATGATCATGTCTTGTATATAATTATCGGATTATGGATGTGGGATAAAAAGAAAAGCAAAACTAGTATATTTAATATAGCAGAAGAGCTGAAGAGGTATGCCTAGATGGTGCTCTTAATCAGTTTCCAAAACCCTATCAAAGACATAAGCTTCTAGTTATTATCAATGCTAGTTCTATGGTTAAATTTTTGAATAGTTTGATCATAAACCCAAAATAATTTAGTTAGTCCATCATATTCTTGCAAAATGTTATATCTTGATCTTGTCATCTGAACTTTTTGTTTGGGTTGAACCATACATCTTTTGTTGAGAAATATATAACTTTGTGAACATCTAACATAGTGTATTGGAGCCTTTGGACATGCTTCTGAATGAAGTCTTCTGGAATTTTAGGAGTTGCACCTATCACAGATAAAATGAGAGTGGGTAGATTATGGTGGTTTGGGCACATTAGGAAGAGGCAGATGATGGCACTGGTAAGTAGTGTAGAGAGTGTAATTGTCGAGGGGGTGAGGAGGAGAGGCTGGCCAATGAGGATGTGGGATGAGCAACTGAGGTTGGACCATGGCGGCCTTAAACCTTTCCAAGGCCATTTAAACCTTTCTGAGGACTTGACCTCTAATAGGAATCCCCGGAGATGCCGGATTAGGTCAGGAGTTTAGTTGTAGGGAGTAGTAGCTACTGCAGAGGGGGTTAGAGAATGGGAGGGGGAGGGTTAGAGAGCATTCAGGTAGTTAGCCATGTTCTAGTATCGATAGAGGAGAGGGCTGCTTTCGTGGTAGTTAGGAGTGCACTGTCTTAGGCTCTGCAAAATCTTTTCAAAATTTTCAAAGCTTTTAAATAATGTTATAAAATTATGGTATTCTTTATCCAAACTTACAGCTGCTCCCAGAACTTCCCAAATCTTTGTCACAAGTTTGGGGTCTTCAAGGAAACAACATCGAGTGGAAGAAAAGTTTGCATACATCATACACTCCCCAAACCTACATCCGAGTGGGATGCACCCGGTATTTTTTTTACGGTTGGTTGCGTCATTAATTGATGATATTGAATGATCGTAGTTGATTAAAAAGTAAATCTTTGTTCAAGAATATGTTTACAAGTTTCTGAAGTTTTGGAATGCATATAAGAGCTCTTTGTATTCCTTTGAACTGCTTCATTAGTTAATGGGTCTTGAATGATTATGGTTTGGAACTATATTGAGTAAGGTAACTTGATATAAATATATTGATTGCTTTCAACTTTTCTGTTTTTGGTCGAAATACAATCTGTAGAGAAATATCTCTAAGTTTGAGAAGATCTAGAATGCTTATTAGAATTCCTTGATTGATCGCTTCACTAGATGATAACTCATGGATGATTGCAGTTGGAGACTTATATACATACGCATATCCTGTGGATTCTGTGGCGGAGACATTTTTTGGATAAGGGGTATGATTGTAATTTCACTTTCAAGTCGGACCCCAATGTAAGCCATCATTACCCATCCGATTGTCTAACATCTGTGCTCTGCCTCCTCGCTGATCATAATTGTTTCACCTACACCCCCAAAACTCCCCTCTCAACGGTGTGTCTTCACCATTGCTGGTATATTTTCCTCTGCTTCTCTGTTTGAGCGTTTCCATCAAGTTATCTGCTTTGTTTTCTCTTTAATCTCCAGCGCTTCCTTAGTTCTCTTAACTAGAACATTTTGCACTAATTTTTTGAAGTTCAGGTTACTAGATCTAATTTAATTGTTGCAAAATCTGATTTAATTTTGTTATGGATTTCAGTCTACAGATCTGATTATTTTGCCCTGATCTGATTATTTTGCCTTAATTTGGTTTGATCTAATCTAAATTGAGCTGATCTGATTTTTCGCCCTTATTTGATTGAACGTGTGCTAATCGGTTATTTGGTTATCAACACTTTTATTTGCACATAACAGTAAGGTTGCAATTTAGTTTGTAAAATGAGCTGTTGTGATCTCTTCGATGAATCGCTTTTTAACACTTTGGACTCTTGCATGAATGCCGTCGTTGTTTCCACATAGGGTAACTTATTGCTCATAATTGAAAAAGGGTTTTATCTTGTTCTTCTTACCTTTTTAGCGATGGTTAGAAATTAATACTCATGATTCACTTGACTAAATTGTCAAGCATCAAGTCCCAGTTGAAGGAAATTCATCTGATGCGGTGTGTTACACTTCACCCCCTATCAATGTTGTAGAGGGTCATGTAAATCTATGACACAGGTTGCTTTTATGTGTCCTAACTCCTGAATATGAACCGTTTTTATTTACTTCTGTTTAGCTTCTTTGTTGAGATTTACCACAAAAGACCATATGGATGTCTCTTGTTTTCCCATGGTCTAGTTAAGGTTTTTCATCTATTTCAGTGGGCATTTTGATCTCTTTTTCAAGTACCATGATTTACTTCACCGATAACATATTCTGTCATTCATCTATTTAAATAAATTGATTTAATTGATACCAAGTTTCTGGTTATATTTCTTCTACATTTTATTATTTAGATTGCATGCTATGATAATCATGTGGAGTATTACAGTCATCCTAGTTGCTACCCACTGAAATGTCCTTTTTGATGTATTGAATTCCTGAGATTATTATGGTGGATTCTGCCATAGGTAATAACCTGAGTTTGTTCTTCATTATTGTAGTTCAAATATGACCTAGAGGCATATTGAAGAGGGCATGTGTGTGGTTAGTTGTAAAAAGTCCAATTTTCTCCGCCCTTCGTTAATGGATGAGCACAAATCGAAGCTCATTGCTCAAGACTTTAACAACTTGGCTATATGGACCAACAAAATTACAAATATAATCTTGATGCTTTTCTCATTTGATCACTTTATTTGGACTATTTTACATAAATCAGTGGTCGTTCTTTATAATACATCTATCATCTCATGAATGCTTTCACCAATTAGTGTTTCAAGCATTTGTTTTGTTAAGGAGATAACTACTACAACTACAAAAATATCTTCAGCTAGTTTGTTTCTGTTTTGCCTCTTTCTCACTTATGCAATCATAATACTCACTTTTAGTTCTTTCTTTATTATTATTCGATCTGAATGTGAAGTAACATCGTTCTGCACAGTGAAACGCAAGTTCCTACTTCAGTTTATCGCATTCCATCCCTACCAACTCATCTGTATGTAGAAAAACTCGGTTGCTTTCAGTTTGTGTGAATTTATGTATTATGCCCCTGATGGGGTAAAGGAAATGTGTGTATACATCCTACCCCTCCTTACCCTACTTTCATGTGAGATCTATTAGGTACGTTTTGTTTGATTTACGGGGTACAAGTGTTCTCCTTGGCAGTGCGTTTGGTATGTGATGGGGTAGTATAGTACAATACAAAAACTTGTCCCATGCTTTTTGCGACATTAGACCTGGAGAGGACAGGATGTGAGTGGAAGAAAAATGCACATTTTCTGTCCCACGGTGGAATAAAAATCTAGGGAGATGGGGACAAGATTGATAAATCACTAAAATACGCATGTCAAATTGAAACCATAAAACCTTTCAGAATTCTTTCATCCACCTACCTCACTCTTGCCCTTCCTTTCTTGTCCAGTCTAGTTCCATCCAGTCCCGTCCTCATAGCAATCACACCTGGATCTCACCCAGTTATGAAACCAGTTACTGGGCTCCTGAACTTTAAATGTATGTATGACTCTAATATTCTGTCTGTTCATTCTTGCATCTATTGTTTCTATTTTTCTTGCAACACTTTTGTGAAATTTGATTAGATTTGAGAACGTGTCGCATCATCCCTCTTTACAACTTCTATATCTTACGTAAATCTCACATTTACCAAGAGCCCGGATAATTTATTTTGTTTTTGTGTAGAAATGGCCAAGACAAGGAGTATGACTAGAAACCAGAATCATGCTGCATCTAGTGGGAAGAGGTTCAAGGCTTCTGATGATGATAATTCACCACCCTGGTCAGACCTTCACCATGAATTGCTTTTTCTAATCATGATGCAAATGGGAATTGTTGATTTTCTTGCATTCAGCGGAGTTTGCAAATCATGGAGGGAACTCGCGCTTGCTAACAAGCACCGATTTATGGCATCCAGACAGCCAATGTCCATATATATGTCTTTTACTGGTGCACAGAACGCCTGCTATCTGGATGACTTTATGGGAAGGAAGTTCAAAACCATCCTTCCCACATCTACTGTCAGGATGTGTGTCGGATTAACTTCTGGTTACTTGATCCTATTCGGGAAAAAAAAACGTGATTTCTTGCTTGTGAATCCTATCACAAGGCATGAACTTCATTTCCCAGTTTACCCCTTTTATGTAGGTACCAAACCATCAAGAATCAGGGCTATTCTCGTCTATTCACCTTCATTGTCGGGATGGGTGTTCTTGATCACTATCAGATTCTCCACAACAGTATCATTCTCTTTAGCTGGTGAACGATCCTGCTGGAAATATCTCTCGTGCCGATTCCCCATCTGCGATATACATGCTTTCAAAGGCAAGATATACATGTTAGATGTTAATAGTCGTTTGTATGAAACGAGACTCAATCAAATCCCGACCTTGATGTCACTCAAACTCAAGAATACCCCAGATTCGTACCTCGTGCTTCCAGAGTTTGTAAGTTCGGGTGAAAACATCTATCTGATGGGCTCTGTTTCTGGAAACTTGTATATGGTTCAGGAAGTGGATTTCGACAAAATGAAATGGTCATACCCGAAAAACACATTAGGGGAATATACACTCTTTTTGGGCGACTCCAAGTGTTCTGCGGCTATTAAACCATCAAGCTGGGATGATTCACAGAAGCAGTTTGAGAGGTCCGCTTACTTATATGGCGGATACGACAAAACACGAACGGCAAGTTCGTTTACGGGCCACATGTGGTACTTCCCCCATGACTGTTTCAATGTTAATCTCTTGGAGGAGTGATGCTTGTGAGTTCTCTCTTATCTTTGGTTTTATAATGATGGATTTGAAATCAGAATTTGGGTATTTTGAATCTTTTTATAATGGTTTTGAGAACCAGAAACACCATCAGGTGGATTTGGATTCTGCTGGTTATGGTTAAAAGAGTCTTTGTCACCTTTTCCCTGTGGGTGGACACAAATATCAATTACATCTCCTGCTTTATGACATTTGGTAATTGGTGTCCTTTGGATTTAAATGTTTTGTATCTCTTTTTGGTCGGAATCGGAATGATCAAATTTCTTTGACCAAATTCCAATTCCTTCATTTGGTTCACATATTGAAATGGATGGAATTCTTTGAATTCCACTAATTGATGAATTTATCATTTCTTGGCATAAGTGAAGGAATTGAATTCCATCCCTTTGCATCCAATTAAACCTGACACCCTCCATCCCTTGTCCCTCACCACGACCATGCCACTAGTGTCATTGTCACGCCACCTTCCCCAACCGCCGTTCTATACCGTCACAACCACTAACCCGCCCCACCACCAATGGCCTGTTGTCATCACCGCCGCCACCCCTAAACCCCCGCCCACCAATAGTCCAATACCACTAGGCCGCTACTGTTGTCATCACTGCTGCCATCCCCCACCCTCCCCCAAACAAAGATGGAGATTCCAATTTCTCTGAGATATCACATTCCAATTCCTACCAATTAAACGTGTGGTCAAAAAAACTCAATAGACTTTAGTGTTTCAAATGATTGAGTTCTTGGATAATTTTTTGGAACAAATAAGTCTTTGAACATTTTAAAATCTGTTATATAAATCATTGGACTTTTGGAAACCTGTTAAGTGCATCCTTGTGACGAATAAATCCTTACATTTACAAAATCTCAGTCATTTCGAAACTTATAAAAGTTGTACCTAAAACATAAACAAATAGGTATAAAAGTTGGGCCAAAATATACAAAAGTTGTATCAAAATATACTAAAATATGCACAAAAATATACCAAAAATCGTGGCAAAATATATTTAAGTAATGTCTAATCTATATTAAATCGAATGTGTCGTTGCATGAACTATTCTTCACTTAGCATCCCTAATCTATTTCTGGTTGAGGTACAACAATTTGACTTTCCGGATATAAAAGAAGGAAACGATGTTGGTTAATGATGATGAACTTCAATAACACTTTTTTTTTTTCGGGATAAATTATGATCATAATCTATTACCAGATTCAGACATAAACATGGATCTGATCTCACCTGATGCTGCATGAACATTGTCATCTGATGTATACCTTACATATGACAAGGACCAAGAATCTTATTCGATAAAAGCGAAGTCAATAACTGATAGTCTTATCCCGTAAGTGAGGATGACAACTCTTACCACGGTTGACACTTACTAGATAAATTTTACCTGTAAACGATTATTGAGTAACTAAATAAGTGTTTAGGTAAATGATCCCTTCACGTCTAAATGATTAAGAAATTTTCTCTCTTGCTAATTCATGGCACAAGGAAAGTGGTTACTAAGGTAAAATATGCTACTTCAAGGGCAGCCACGGTAAATATTTTAACAATCCATAAATCATACTTTTTATGAGTATTTATTATGAATATTATTCCTAATAAATGGTTGTCACGACATTCATCATGAATATTTGATCATAAATATTCACAAAACCAGTGGTTCATGAGTTCATAAGATATTTAAGGTTCTTAAATGATTCTTCCTATATATAAAGGGGGAAAGAGGTTTAGGGAAAAACTTAAAAAAAAATGAAAAAACGAAGAATGCTCTGATAACCATTCATTTAGACAATATTTACATGTGCATACAATTAATTGAAGTTATTTTTTGGCTTTTATGCACGTATGCATCGTATGCACATGTACATACCGGACAAATTGCTTAAAAGTTATTTGTATGCATATGTGCATACCATTTAGATAAAATGTTACCAGAGTTTTTTTGTTTTCTTCAGTTTTTCATTTTCTTTACAGTTTCTCCATGAACCTGACCTTATGTATATACCCTTATATATTAAATTATAAGCAACTTGATATCACAAATAATGTATTTTTAAGGTAAATTACACCAACTAAATATTATATTACATACGAGTAGATCAGGAGGTTGTTAACCTCAAACCAATTTATTTACACATTATAATATAACTGGTATACTTYGTATCTTTTTGGGACAAGCTCGTATCTTGATATTTATATACTACATTTCCTTCTTCTAGGGAACTTTTGTTATCCCAATTTTGGGGTGTTATAGGTTAGTATCAGAGCTTTAGTTTAAATGAAATTGGCATGAACTTAGATACCTAGACTTAAGCTATGAAACTTTTAGTGATTAATTCTCTAACTTTTGGGTAGAATTAAGGGTTGTGAGAGTGTTAGGACTTATAAAAATGCATTGATTGATACTTGTAATGATGGAAACGAGAATTCTTGTATGTAATATATTCAGAATTTCATATGGCCCGTGCTATTGTGTATATCTTAGTACGTAAGCATGCTTGAAATTGTTGTTGTTATGATAATTGATAAATGTAGTAGTACGTTACAAATCGTTAATCTTATATGGAATTAATCAGTATGATATTTGTCATGTGTGTAACTGTTCACCATGGTAAACACCCAGAGTTGTCAGGTAACTCAAGATGAAGGAAACGATGCTAGTGTGACGGCCCAAGAGCCACCAAGACCATCGAGGAAAGCCACCAACACCTAAGAGCCCCCGATTCCGTCAATGTTAAGGGGTGTTATCAATGTGGTGCCTTAGATAAATTTGAACACCGGTAATCCTGTTGTTTAAGAGTTGGATCCGCAATCGGTAATGGTGGACAACGTCATGCAAGAAATGAACTCCGCCATGGATAGGTGAAATGAACGATTCACGAAAATCGGAGGCATGAAATCGTTGCAGAAAATGCCATGGCCGGTTCATATGGTGATGTTCATGTTGTGGGCACAAAGGAGCAAAGGTCTGTGGCTAAGAAGAAGGAGGATCTATGCGGATATGCATAGATTATAGAGAATTGAACAAGCTGACGGTGAAGAATAAATATCCGCTTCCTTAAATCAATGATCTTTTCGATCAATCGCAAGGGGAAGGATATTTCTCCAAATCGACCTTCGATTTAGTTACCACCAAGTAAGAGTAAGAGACAAAGATGTGCCGAAGACGACTTTTCAGACACGATATGGTCATTACGAGTTTCTGGTAATGTCTTTTGGGTTAACTAATGCATCGACCGTATTTATGGACTTGATAAACCGAATATGTGGCCCTTTCTTAGACAGATTTGTAATAGTCTTTATTGATGATATTATTGTTACCTCAAAGAATGAAGTCGAGCACGAACGCCATCTTCAAGAGGTGCTCGAAGTTCTATTGAAGGAAAGATTGTTCAGAAAGTTTTCCAAGTGCGAGTTTTGGCTTCAAGAGGTACAATTTTTGGGTCACTTGGTCTTTAGAGTTGGAGTAAAGGTGGATCCATCCAAAATCGAAGTAATCATGAACTGGGAACCACTAACGAGCCTGATGGAAATCAGAAGTTTCTTGGGATTAGTAGGTTACTATCGAAGATTTATCCAAGATTTTTCAAAGATCGCTTCACCTTTAACAGCATTGACAAGAAAAAATGTCAAGTTCGCGTGATCAAGCCTTCCAAGTTCTTTAAAAAAAGTTGTGCGAAGCCAGTACTATCTCACCCGAAGGATCTAAAGATTTTCATAGTTTTCAGTGATGCATCTAAAATAGGATTAGGGTATGTGTTAATGCAGAGAGGAAAGGTGATCGCTTATGCGTCCCGTCAACTCAAAGAACACAAGAAGAACCATCCGAGTCATGACTTGGAACTAGCCGCAATGGTTTTCGCCTTGAAGTCATGGCGACATTATCTCTATGGGTTGAAGTGCACCCTTTTCACCGATCATAAAAAGTTTGAAGTATATTTTCAATCAGAAAGAGCTAAACATGCTACAAAGAAGGTGGTTGGAGTTGTTGAAGGACTACGACTGTGAACTACTTTACTATCCAGATAAGGCGAATGTTGTACCGGACGCTCAAAGCCCGAAGAGTCACGATGGGGGCATTCAAATTACGCTCACAAGGATCAATGTGGTGTGTCAAGCCTAATTAAGAAGATTAAAGTGTGTCAAGATGAGGCACTTCTAGAAGAAAATCTCAAAACGGAAATCATGGTAAAACAACGTGACTTGTTGGCAGAAGATAGTCGTGGACTCAAGCTCTTCCAAGGACGAATTTGGGTACCAAAGATCAAGGGAAATCGAGAACTACTTTTAGAAGATGCTCAGAAATCTACATATTCCATTCATCCCGGTAGCACGAAGATGTATAGAGATATAAAACTGAGTTATTGGTAGCTATTTATGAAGCTCGATATGGTGAGATACGAGATGTGTGACTTGTCTTCAAGTAAAAGCCGAACATCAAAGACCATACATAAGTCTCCAATCTTTAGAGATTCTGGAATGTAAGTGGGAATACATTACTATGGATTTCGTGACAAAGCTACCAAAAACGTTGAGAGGGAACGAAACTTTTTGGGTGATAGTTGATCGTTTGACCAAGAGCGCTCACTTTCTAGCGATGCGGGAAACTTTTCGACGAGGTAATCTCAAGACATGGTGTGCTATTGGTCTATTGTTTCGGATCGGGATAGCCAGTTCACTTCTAAATTTTGAGATGGCCTACAGAAAGAGTTAGGCACAAGAATAAAGTTGAGCACGACGTATCATCCCTAGACAAACGGTCAAAGCAAGAGAACTATTCAAACTCTTAAAGATATGTTAAGATCATGTGTCATTGACTTTGGAGGTAATTGGGACTCTCATCTCCCGTTAGTAGAGTTCGCGTATAATAATAGGATGGTGTGGCATGTCAGAGTCTATTCCCCCTTGGCCAACTCGAAGGGGCAAGGGTCAGCGTACTGTGACTCAAACCATTCAGGATTGACCATTACCCGAGGTCTGGAAAAAGCTGAAATCATTATCACTCAAGCATCGGAATAACACCGTTCAAGGCCTTGTATGGACGAAAGTGTAAACTCTCGTGTGTTGGCTTGAGGCGGGAGAGAAACAGTTTGCGGGCCTGAGATCATTCACGAAACTATGGATAAAGTGAAGGGCGAGAGCAATTGAAAGCGGCACAAGATAGAGAAAAGATTTACGCCGACAAGAAAAGAAGACCGACCGAGTTCCAATTGGGAGAACGAGTCATGTTGAAGGTATCTCCGTGGAAAGGCATCATCCGATTCGGAAAGCGTGGGAAGCTCATCCACGTTTTATTTTCCGAGTTAATTATTGAAACATTATAAAGTTTTGATTGTTTTGTTTCTTACCCCACTTTTATTTTTCAGTCATAAGTAGTCGTAGTACCGATTTTCCCGTCCCGAAACCGAAACCAAACCAGTACCAAGGGTAGAGATCCTTTCTTATGCTTCTTACTGGAACCCAACACTATACACATATAGATAGAGATACGTATAATAACGACATAATATATTGACCTTGAAATTGAAAAAAGACACAGCCTTGCCATGGCAGCTAAGAAGTAAGATCTGTGGCCACTTAGAACCTTGATAAGTGCGTGCAAATAGTTACAAGATAAAGGTGGAAGAAAGAATCGTATCCATCAAAATTTCTAAAAAAAGCATTTGTTCTTTCTATAACACAGCTTTTTTTCACGTCACTTTGAAAGCCAATATATAATGAGAAACAGAGTACAAGCCGCAATCACAGCAGATAAGATGAGAGTATCCCTTGATTTCTTCCTTCTAATAGACCCTGCAATGCATATACGTAGTACACCGTTTCAAGCTTTATTATCCGCTGACCCAACCAACCCTTTCTAGAAAAGGTGAAACGTGTGCGGTGTGCGTGAGTTTCATTTGCAGTGTTATATACTTGAATGAAAGAGAAGGAACAAAGGGTACCGATTAGTCCACGAACGATGGGGAACTTGTCACTTAGTTGTTTAACTTTGCCTTGAACATCACCGAACATGGCCCTCTGAGACCCTAATGCTGCCCTTGTTGTTTGAGCCTGAGTTATTACATCATCCATCTGCACCAAACCAAACCGGATAACTTGAGAAACTTCTTGTTACAAAAGTGGAATCAAAGATACAAACCCTGGTAAAAGTCAGGTCAATTCTATCAGAAATGCAATCAGACTGGCTCTAGAGACCTATTTCATCCTATTCATTATCCTCGATGACGACCCATTCTGATGCACTTTGCAACGAATTTACAAGGAAAACAAAAGACAAGGCACAAGATTTATCGAGTCTTTACAATCACAAGGAGATCGAAAATCCCATATGCAGCTACGCTCCTACCTTTTCATCCCCAAACATTACTGACATCCAACTAACTCTCCAACTTCCCTTCCAGACTGACTTTTATTAACCGACTAAAACACCCTTACTTCTTTTATCTCTTATTCCCCCCTTGCGTAACTAAACCTCAGTGCTGGTTTATCACATTCTCCGAAGGAGTTTCTGTTGGCCCAAGCTGTAGGTTCGGTTTTCATCTCCTTTTTGTATATAGAGAGTGCAATTTATCCCACATATGGTGATTGTAATCCTAGCCTCTCTACCCTTGGGGTAGAAAAAAGGTACCCAACCTCTGACCGGGATATACTATGTACGTTTAGTTTTGTGGCCATCATAATCTTGTGGAGCCTTTGGCATACCCAAGGTTTTGAAAGACAAAATGCAAGACGAGGCGTTCTCCCTTAGTACCACGAGGTGTAAGCCTTAAGGTGAACCAAGGCGTATGCCTCAACGATAAAAAAAATCATAATAAACAACACAATTCCATATCAAACTATGAGAGTCATGGAAGTCATAAAATTACTAGTTAAAACTTAAAACCAAACCAAACTGACCCAGTAAATCAATGACACAGAGACATAGGGTTGGGGAATTGGGGGGGGGGGGGGGTTAAGATGTATGCATATCTTACCTCTATCAAATTACTAGTTATAAAGTCTTTACAACATAAAGTTAATTCATTAAACCTTCAAGAAGTCATCATTTTCATGATCACTAAAAACAATAGAAAAAATAAGTAGCAACTTAAAAATACTTAAAGTGCCATTCTGGAAGAGTAAGTGTAGATATTTGTACTATAAAACTAAAGTACAGCCCACTTTATCTCCAAATGTAGAGATGACAACGGTTACCAAGGACCCCAATCCTCATCCCCAACAAGGAATCGGAGATATTCCCTGTCCACACAAGTGCATTATATATAAGGGTGGAATCAATTGAAAACCGCACAAACATTACAAACATCACAAACATTACAAACCACACAAGCCATTCAATTTGTTTCAATTTAATCGATGATTCATATTGTTTCACATGTTTCGTTCTTGTGTGTGTTTCATATATGAAACATACTGAAGTATTTCACATGTGAAACAAATGTAAATACATTTCATATATGAAACACACACACATAAAAGAACAAAACATGTGAAACAATATGAATCATTGATTAAAATGAAACAAATTGAATGGTTAGTATTGGTCCTCACCAATTTGTAACATTTGTGTGGTTGTAAGTATTGCACGCACAACAGTATTTTTCTGTGTATTGCTACAAGTTGAAACCAAAAAGATCCTACAAACCAAATCAAAAGTGACCAATAGCACGGACATACATCCAATGTCTTTAATTTATCACAACCATCTTTTGAAATTTTATACATCCAGAGGGTGGGAAGTGAATTGTGGAAAGTGGGAAAGATATAGGGATTTATAATAAAAAGAATTTTGAATTTTATATAATTTATTATTTATACTAAATAGAATTTCGGGTTCGTGGACCTGAGGGGTATCCCATCCCTGCCCCCGGTTTCTAAATTTGAGGATTCCTCAGTCAAACCAGGTTCGGGTACTGGTGCCAGGTCCTAGTCGGGAATGGGTTTTTTTTGCCATATCTACTCGGTTTGCCTCATACAGCACCTCATCCATGTGATGTGTATGCCTCAAAGCCAAACAGCAGAGGCGTAGCCTCAGAAACACATTTGGACCGCCTCGCCTCGACTGATTTTTAAAACCATGAGTATAGCAGAGCCTCCAGATCAATGATAACATGAAGAAAAAAAGATCCTACCTTTAACATGCCGCTGGGTGCAAACCACCTAGCAGAGTTTGAACAGTGTACATCACCACTAGACAGGAATGCACGACCAGCTCAATGTCTTCATCCTGAAACCTTCCTAGAGTGGATTGCATCTAGATTAACATGGACGACTCCACTGCTAAAAGATAATCCACAACAGTGGGGAAATACGATGCAATCATGAAGGTAGGGTTAAGGGTGTAGGGGAACAGTGATTAGAAGGAAAATTTTCAGCATTCAACGCGAGGCAGTAGCCATACGCAAAATATCTATAGAGGCAATCAGAGAAGGGATGGCTCTATCCGTAAATATATCCTTAAAGGAGGCTACATAGATTCATCTCCAGTGTTCGATTGTAATTGACTGCCTCTCCTTGTCTAGTCCATTATATGTACCATTCATGTATCATGATTGAGTAGCAAATGATTTGGTTGGTTAATGAGTTGGGTCAATCCATATATTGTTCTATTGTATCCCAACCACGATCCATCATCTTTTGTAATGGATGATTTGGTAAATTGTAGTCCATGGAGTAACTTCAGGATAAAACGATCAAGCTTGACACAACGGCTATAAAAAGTCAGCACAACTATGACTATTATTTAGCATTTTTTTTTTCTTTTTTCTCCAAGTGAATTGCCTCAGTCTGATTGACAGGCTTTCTAAGACAAATAAATGAAATAGTGATCACAAGAGAAGTAACGAAAACATCGAAACCAATAAAGCATAACAAGAGTGTTATGGCAATATTATACTTTTTGAGGAAATTTAAAATAAACATAAATAACGCTATTGCATGGCAAAAAGATTAAAACATATTTAGAGCTCTACAATAAGGATGTTCTTGGAATCGAGTTATAATGACAATGGGATGGTATTTTTATTGGTCAAACCTGCTTCTCAGATAGCGTTCTTGACCCTTCTGTCAGTTGTCATATGTGGCTTTCTAGTCATTATGAACAGTTTTGTTGGTTGACCAAAAACCTATAAGCTTCTTAAGATTTCTTAAAAGCAGCAATCTCAAGCACCCTCTTGATGGTAGTTACCTTCCACTATCATTTTCCAAACTGTTATTGACGTATGATAATTGACAACATATTTATCAAATTAGGTTCCCACATTAACGTGATAAATCCATATTTAAAGTTGGCAAATTAAAAATCTTACCATGGAATACGTTTCGATTCCTTGTGTGTGATTGCAGAACACAAGGAATAATGCCCAGACTTTATCGATCCAAAACATAAAACTAGTAGGAATTCACATTTCAAAGGATAAATTCAAGTCTAGTGCAAAGGATCTATTTCGATATCCAAATGAAGGTTCAGATTACAACTTTCTTACCTAGTGAGTGAAATATAAATAACACTGCACTGAAAATTCAATTCTAAAATCCAGGAGATGAATTCATGGTTTGTCATTAAATTCCTCCCCATTTATTAGCACTAAAAGAGCATAGATTTATAAGCACTCAAAGAGCCAAACTGAAGGATTTCTTTTCAGGAAATCAAATAGTGCTTATCTATATATACATTTGTATAATGTGAGAAAATAACAGTCATCTCAAGCATTTAAAGAATGATATAGCAATTAGAATTTACATGTGCTATGCTTCCATGGATAGCAGCTCGCTCCCTTAGTATCTGCATTCTCGGTGACATGCTCCCAGATGCCTGCATATGTTCCAGATTATACTTTTCCAAAATACTAATGCAATATTATATACTGAGAGGAGTTAAGAGGTTCATTTTTCTCACCTTGTACTCACTGATATCATCTCTTACAGAACTTAGGAGCTCAGCATGCTCCGTCATAGCACTTATGTTTCCTTTTATTCGTCTGAATTCCTACAGAATGGTCAAGGAAGCAAAAGCCAATTAAGAAAACAAAAAAGAGCAAAACATAGAGCATGGATGGGAGGGAAAAGGCATATAGTCAACCCTGTTAATTTGAGGCATACAATGTCGTTAATAGAAATAGTTAGGAAGAACAAGATTTTCAAACAGCACACTGAAAACCAAATGCTTGACCTCTAATTTGCACAAAACAAAAATCCAAATTTTTTTGGATAGTACCAACATCATCAATACGTGTGTGAACCAAATGTTGCAACTGCTGTGGGATGGAGGGAATGGAGGGACTATGACAAATATGCCATCATTGTGATGTGAAAAGAAATGGTGGAAGAAAATATTTCACTGGAAATGGAAGCAATGGCCTGAACTTTGGAACTGTGAAGCCTAGGCCTAGCTTAGTTGCTCGATCAATCTGGAGCTAGATCATATTCACTGGGCAATAGTGGTGATTCAAGGTACATTATAATGTGGCTATTGGGTTGGATTTGATTACTGTATGGAGGATGGCCCAAATTTGATAGCCTATATGGTTGTTTGAAGCCCATATGGGGAGGGGACTAGTTGCTGTTGTTCCCCCAATTCCCCAAACATATTGGACAAGCTATCCAAACACAATTCTATTATCTGGAGATCATAGTAAAATGAGCATGGGCGTCATGGAATGCATAAGCAAATAAATGGTCAGAAAAAATAATTGATTAAAACAACCAAACGTTTTAATTTTATGATGTGAAGATTTACTGAAGGTTAGCAAATTGTAGTGAGATAATCAGGTAGGTTAGCAAGAAAGCAAGCAAATTAAGAAGTTATACAGCATGCACAACCCAAGTATAAAACAGAAAGACATAAGAACTTTATCCATGTAGTGCATATGATGGTTATTATCATAAGTGCAAAAACTAAGCAAATCTAAGTAAGAACCTGGCTAAATTCATGAAGTATATCCCTGTGCCTTGCTAGCTTTTGGGTAACTGAAGTAGTAGCTGCTGCAGATGCAGCACATCGGCTCATGGAATCATTGACATCCAGCAACTTCTCAAGTAATGACTGTATTTCCATCTCCATTGACTTCCATGAACGGTTGGAGCCAATAGTTGGTGTGTCAGCATCAGCATAGCCTGGCCCCCAAAGCATAATCATCAGCAAGTACACATCCAAGCAAAACTACTTTTCTTGAACACAGATTTGGTGCAGTACGCTTTGGTCAACACCCATATAGCACGATCATATAAATCAACAAGCCTATGATTATCTGTTAGACTATTATTGCATCTTTTTCCACTTTTATCTATGTTTCATTGCTTCAATATACTGTGCGAAGCAAGATGCAAGCACCAAGCAATCGTAAACAGCCAAAATATACAATCAAATCCAAAGCTTCAATGTATATTAGGTAGTGTAGATACAGCTTTGTATTTTCTATACAAAACTTAGGTTGTTAATCACCATAACATATTTCTCACACCATTCACCAAAATTTGTGAAAATATAAAGATGCCTGTAGCTATGAGTGGTACACTTAGTACATTGTGTCATTTGCATTGTCTCGGTCTCTTCTTCCAAAACAACATCTTTTAGAAGTGGCCTCTAATCTTGGGCAGATGGAGTATAAGGTTGGTCTATATTAAAATTCATATAATCAGGTACAGAATAGTCAGGATTGTAATTATGAACTGTATTTCTTAATAGTTAATACCCTAATCTCCGATGTATTTTCATCCTTTGTTAAGAGGGGGTTAACTTTTGCCAACAGCTGACTTAGAAACTTCACCAACGGAAACACAAAATTACTTCACTCTAGATAATTCAATCTCTACATAATTTCAAAAAATTAGCAGTGTAACCAGGTTTTCACAAGAAATATTTCCATTACAAATTATTCTTTCCCCAACTGCAATAGCAAAACCAAACAATTTTCGAGCAATTTTCAACTTAATCCATCATCAAAGCAAATCACGTAGTGATTTCATGAAATTGATACTTCTTCTCCATAGGATTCACCAATGTGATATGCAAGTAAATCGGCAACGATCCAACTAGCATCCAAATGATCCTAAATTTGCCACTAACAGTTCTAGGTTTCCGAATTTGAGAATGTGATTCATTACGAACAAGATCCAAAAATATAAAAAGAGAATTCACAAACCTCCTTGAGTGACACGGGCGCCAAGCTTAGCATAAGAAGAGAGCTTAACATCAAGATCTCCTTCGATCTTGCGAGCTTCTTTCCTCAGTTCTTCCCAACCCGATTCCTGATCCATCACACTCTCTGACACCGGTTCTACTTGGATCCGATCCGTTCTGCTCCTTCTCGTGGTACTTGTTGCTTCTATGGTGTTCGTTAGGTGAGGTTTCAGTCGAGATGGGAGCAAATCTATGTTGCTCTGCTGCTTCGTGTACTGCTGCTCCCTTCTGTTTCACACTTTTATTGCTACTGGGTTATTTTCCCTGGTTTTCTATATTTTCACAAAAAATAGAAATTGAACAACAAAATTTTTGCTAGTTGTTTAGCCGCGTAATTCGGTAGCGCCATGAATTTTAACGATTTTAAAGTTTCACTGGTTTATTATAGAATATTTAACGATAATATAAGTTACATTTGATCTTTACATATTAATACAATTTGAATAAATAAAAGTTATGGTTCTAATTACAGTCTATCAATAAAAAAATTATATGACAGTTTAAAATCCAATATATTTAACATCCAACGGATTTAAACGACTCCACGAATGTGTTCGATTTACACCAAGAGCAAAGAATCAAGAGACCGACAGCGAGACCGAGAGTTATAAAGCAATTGAATGAGAGATGAATGAGAGAACTTTTAATAACTCATGGTGAATACCAATTTAAATCTCAACTTGGGGGATGGGGAGAAGACATAGAGGTACGAGAGGGTAAAAACATAAGTGAAAAATATCAAAAGTATCTTGGGAACCTGAAAAAAATATGTAATAATGTGCATTGGTAACTTGCATTATATGTTATTTTAATTGTAGAGTAAGAGATTTTAAGACTGAATGCATAAATTAGTAGTATTTAATGCATTATGAGTTATTTTTAAGTCTTTTAAGACTTTGTGCATTAATAATTGTTTCTAAATTTTTTGATAAATCTGGTTTATAAAATAATATAGATTTTCGGTAAATACCAAAATCGACATGAATAACGCTTATTTGAGACAATTTTTTTATCTAACCAAATCAATCAGTTCATTTTTTGCAATTAAAAACCCCTTACACACGGACATGTGTTACATATAAATTCAAAATGTTACTCAAATTTTGAATAAAATTGCAAAATTTCATCTATGTAACTTGAAGTTGGTATAAAACTGACACCAACATATGCCAAACAAAAAAATGATACCAAATCATATTATCATACATAATCGTATATTAACTAAAATATATTAAAAAAAAATATGTTTCACTTTTTACAAATTATATCATTTTAATCGTCTCATAAATGCTTTCAGAATGAGCCCAATATTGAATATTTTTCGATTTAATCTCATATTATTAAATAACATAAATACGTAGTGAATTATTTTTAAAACTTCCATTTTATATTTTATAGTTATCGTATTTATTTTGTTTTATATTTCTTATTTTATTTATTTCTATTTTACAACCTTCATTTACAAATTTAAAGTTGTAAATCCATAACTTTAAATCT